TTTCTCCACTAGTAACCTACTACATATCAAAAAAAACGACTGTACTACAAATTAACCATATATTACAAAAATATATTACATCGTAAAACAAAAATACTGATTTGCACACAAATTGTTCAATATTACAACGGAATTTCAAAAATAGGGTTAGGTTACGAATTATTAGATAGTGTAATAGAGCAAGAGCCAGCGGCCCGCAGACCTTCGGTAAAGTATAAAACCTGTAAGTTTCTCAAAGTATGTCCCCAACACAGGTAAGAACGAATCCCGTCTATGTAACTTGGGTCGCGGTGGCTTTCGCAGGTATCAGGTAATAAAGGTGTGTAAAATTGTGTGTTAAATTTGGTAAAATATAAAACTCAGTTTTTACATATTTGACTTATAATAATCCCAAAAGTCATCTTGCCGAAAGCCAGACACTTCGTACGGTTCCAACCCTCTGCCAGACACCCTTAAAGTATATTTAATTGTTACTATACTTACGGTATAGTATAAAATCTGCAATTTATATATGTTATTTGGATAACTATAAAATAATGTTTCTTCAGTAGCCAGACAGTTTCTGTGGTTCCTTTATGTTGCCAGGCACATAAAAAGTCTAATGTAGGTGCGAGCGTGAGGGATATATTAGTCAGCGGGTGCAAGTGAAATAGCGCGTTCGGTCCCTTGCGACGTTTTACTGCGCATCAACTGTCATTTATTGTGTATAATGAGAACTATTTTCTAGATTTACTATGAAAATTCATTAATAAAATACATTAGTAAGGGTATAATAACATAGAATCAACGAATAAATGTTTAGAAAATTCTTTTATAAAATTTTCGTGTTTAGGAATCATAATTAATTCAAAACCATTTCAAAGATATTTTATTAATAAAAAAAAGAGTATATTTAATTATTGTCATCGTAGTCGTCGATATCTTGAGTGTCTTCATCATCACTGCTCCAATCTATGGGTTGGTCGTTATCAATATCGTCTTCTTCTTCGCCAGTTTCTGTAATAATTAATCCATGTTAATATAATCATAAATAATCAAAATTTCCTCGATAATATTGTAACATCATAATTATATACCTGATACAGTTGTTAGAGAATCACTGACGTAGTTTGGTAGCTGATCACCTTCAAACCATTTAAAATGATATTGATCATTTTGCAGGATCCAACCATTATTTTCTGGTTTGTATGTTGTTGGTTTCTTCAGGTGAGCATTATTCCAAATGGTACAAATATAATTTGCTCGCAAAAATTGCTGAGATAGCTCACTTTTACAAGGTGGCAAACTGCTGGCATCGAAATTTCGTAATTTTTTTCGATTAAATGCCTCGTTGACATCAGAGACTGTATAAGAATCTATAAACATTTGGAATCTTGCTGTATCAACATCAATAATATTACCAACACTATATAAATTGCATATATATCGCTGAATGGTATTAAAGACGTTTTCTTGTTCATCATAATTTTCAAATACTTCACTGTCGCCAAACTTCATGAAAGCTTTCTGGAATTCATCGCAATTTTTTAATAGTTTGTACGCTATTACGTATTTATGAAAAATGCAGGATTGTAATCACATCCTGTGATTGCATGAAATCCAGGTAGGCTTCGACACATAGATTCTCCTAACTCTGAGTGTATCTTCGTCAGGTTCACATATCTTAAGTTACACCACTATTACACAATAAATGACAGTTGATGCGCAGTAAAACGTCGCAAGGGACCGAACGCGCTATTTCACTCGCACCCGCTGACTAATATATCCCTCACGCTCGCACCTACATTAGACTTTTTATGTGCCTGGCAACATAAAGGAACCACAGAAACTGTCTGGCTATTGAAGAAACATTATTTTATAGTTATCCAAATAACATATATAAATTGCAGATTTTATACTATACCGTAAGTATAGTAACAATTAAATATACTTTAAGGGTGTCTGGCAGAGGGTTGGAACTGTACGAAGTGTCTGGCTTTCGGCAAGATGACTTTTGGGATTATTATAAGTCAAATATGTAAAAACTGAGTTTTATATTTTACCAAATTTAACACACAATTTTACACACCTTTATTACCTGATACCTGCGAAAGCCACCGCGACCCAAGTTACATAGACGGGATTCATTCTTACCTGTGTTGGGGACATACTTTGAGAAACTTACAGGTTTTATACTTTACCGAAGGTCTGCGGGCCGCTGGCTCTTAGTCCATAATTGATTTATTTGATGAGAAAATTTTGTGTACAATTTCACTTTTTCTGTGATGCCGTAGTATCACTCCGGTCGAGCCGGCCCATTCGTGCCGAATAATGGCTCTCCCACACTTAAATGTCGGATGAATCAAAATCGACGTATAATTATTTATTTATTATTATAAACATGTCAGTAATTTAAAGGTATCTTTCCAACATCTATTTTATATATAAATAAAATGAACCGATTTTTTAAAAGTAAACTTATATACAGTTCAAATTACTATAATTTATAACAATATTTAAAAACAACATCTATTCGCAACTACAAGACCTTGTCCTTAATAAAAGGACACCAAGAACTAGTAATGGATCGTAAAATAGCCTTTAAAGGCACCACACTTACTTCCTTGAACCTTGTTGCAATAAATCGCTCAGTACCGCTTGACTAGAGAGGCGAGAATCCCTTATCATTAGTTAATTCAACCGTAGAGTTCCCTTTAATGTGTTATTCAGCTAAAAACTTTTGTGTAAGTTTTAGAGTATTTTATAAAGTATTAGTGGTCCGGAGGCTTAAGACGCCCGCTTCTCGTGCATGAGAGCGCGGGTTCGAAACCTACCAACGGCAAGTACAAAGACTTTTGCCGAGTTATATGTACTTTCTAACATTATCCAGAAACCTCGGCTTATAATTTCTGATTATAAGTTTCAAATCGTCAACTCGCAATGAGCAAGCGTGGTGATTATTGCTCATATCTTCTCCGTGTGAGGAGAGCTCAGCAGTGGCTGAGCAAAGTCAACAATGCCCACTGGCATTTATAAGCTGTTGATGATGAATGGTGTCTTAAGAGACCATTGAAAGAAAGAAAGAAAAAACATTTATTCGACAAATAGGCACACATATACAAAGTATATAAAAAATACAGATATTTATATACCTAATACAAAATAATAAAATAAACCTAAAAGGGTAAAGATAAAGAAAAAAAATGTTTAAATTCCATAAGATATGTATTACATTGGAATTAAGCCTAATTCTTAGAGTATGAGCAACTACAAAGTGTATTGTCCAGTGCACCTGGATCAACATGCTGTCAAATCCCCGATTATATCAAAAGTACAGGCAGCGTATCTGCAATTGGGATGATGACAGGGCATGAAAATTAAAAATCAAATTAGTCCGTAAGTTAGGTAATGAAAAAATATTAGACACGTATTTTTTTATTTTGTCGTATAATAAAACAATACTTAAATAAAACGAATCAAAGTTTAGGAGTAGGAGCTAAAACGTCATTTCTACGTATAAAATGTACATAAAAGTGACGTCACGCGACATTTCAAATCAATATATCGTAAAAAGTATACGTTTCTGTAAGAAAATAAAAAATGTGTTTAATGATTTAAAATAATCTACCAGACGGACATTAAAATAATAAATTAGGCATGTACCCTACTGATCCAGTTTTACAGGCAAAGGTTAAAACTTAATAACTTTAATAATTCAATGAAATTACAGTTTTACATTATTATTAAAACAGAGTCGAAATGAACCCGTGTCAAGGCGGTGGCAGTCAATTAAGATTATGCGGGATTTTTCCACGGAAACTTGAATCAGCTATATTTGTCAGATACGCGGAATTATCCAATGCTAGTTCCGCGGTTTTGCACTATCCCCGACGATTAGTTATGTTTACATGACAATAATTAATCTCTGAATCCCCGATTATGAAAAATCTACAACATTTGTTCATACAAAAGTAGTCTCTTTACATCGGTAATAAGGTCTATAATGGGGTAAGTGGAGAGCGGTCACCGGTGACCGGTTGGGGACAGGGCTGTCACATTTGAGTATTACACTTTTAATCTAACCATTAACAAAAGTCACGAAATTCAGCCTTACTAAAGCCCTCTCAATCTACCATATATTGTGACCTCACAGCTTTTAAACGAGTTCCTAACATAATTAAAACCTGTATGCAATTGTTATACCGTGTTCTCGGAAACACATTGCGAAGTATATTACTATGTAGGTAATTATTAGTTTAAAATCCTTATAATGACAATATAACATAATAGATTATAATAATATTTTTATTTATTTTATGGCATAAGACGCTAAACGAGCAGACGGATCACCTGATGGTAAGCAATCGGCGCCGGCCATGGACACCCAAAACACCAGAGGTGTTAAAAGTGCCTCACCTGCCTTTTGGGGATCAAGTATTTAAGAATAGTTGGGCATTCGGCGTATGGGAAGATTGGGGAAGGGGAGGGTAATTGGTCGAGCCGGCCCATTCGTGCCGAAGCATGGCCTTCCATGGCTCCCACAGTGATATTCCCAAATAACTATAGTATGTTTTTTATTTGTTGTTATTGTATGTTCCATTAAAATCCCTACCATATACAGTGAGCTAATTGTCATAAACCAAAAACTATTATCTACAATAAATAATCATTTAAATGAAGTTGAATGACCTTGCCTTGCAGCCTATTCAAAGAAAAAATTTAACTCGTTTCACTTGTTTCACTAGACCTAGAATAATGTTCATTTGTTCTAATTTATGCCATCTTAATGAGAGTCACACATGCGAAGCACGTTATGCCCTGGTTCAATTCCCCTCCTCCTCAATCTCCCCAATCCCCGAATACCCAACAATCCTCAACTTCCTTAGCCCCAAAAGGCCGGGGACGCCCTTGTAACACCTATTTGAGACAGCTTTCGTATAAGATTTACCATGTTTTTAAGATTAGCAATCAGTAGAAACAAATAAATAAATTGGTTTCTTTTTTTCTTTTTCCAGGTCAAAATGGAAGAAGTACCATATCACCCGTTGATAACGGTGACCCCAGAGTCTGTGAAGAAAGTGCGACAAATGTGTGAAATTGATGATGTACAGAAGATCAAGGACTGCTTGGACATCATTGAAGAATGGATTAGCAAACAGGATCATCTTGTGGAAGCCAGCAAATATATAAGTGAGTTAATAATGAGTTTGTTGGGACAAAATGAGGAGACTATTGTCCGGCCGTGGACGTGTTCTGGCTAGTGATGATGATGATGAGTGAAATAAATATAATTGTTGGTCACACAGATGGCGCTTTGAGCGATTTTAGTCCTCTTAACAGTTTTATCACTGTTTGCACAAAAGTATGAGTACTTAATAATAGTAAAGAACCTGATATTTTACCTATTTTGGATAAAATAGGCAAAATGTCTTCTTGATTAAGAAGTATCACTGTATAAATATGTACAACGGAACTAAAAGTTTGGGGCAAATTTTGAATAACGGCTTTAAATCTGGACTTGTTCGGTGTTTTTAATAAACGCCTGTATTAATATATATGGCTATTAGATGACTACTAGTAGTAACTTAGGTTAACCAAAAGTCTACATCACTTTTCAGAACAAACCTTATTAAACCCACAGAACATATAAACCTTTGGAATGAGCACCTACCTTCACCTAGTTTCACTGACGGACTGACTGACAGACTATTATTTATTTTGTATTTGTTGACGTTTCAAAAGTACCAAACTATGGTTAAATTGAAATAAATGCTTTGACTTTGACTTAAATCTTTCCTTCTACATTTCAGCAAGGAACCTTCTAGAAAGAGTGTTCCTGATAGCAAAGGGTTCCACAGAAGGCACGAAGCGAAGAATAGAAAGGCTGCTGACGTCACGAGGGATGATGCCAGAACTCTGCATGAACAGGACTGTTGAAGAATTTGAAACACAATGGGATGTTGTGTGAGTGACTTCAAAATATTAACTAGGCTAAAAGTGCTGCTTCTTACTTGGAGATCATGACAAACCATCTTGTGTAAAGTAGGCACATAATCCAGTAATAGGTTAGGTGTTGCTCCTGTAGTTTAATATTTGCAAATGCTACAAGTGAGTCCTATATTAAATTCCTGGGTTAAATCATGGCGCGAACTGAATATTTGGATGCGATACTGTCATATTTTCGTTTGGTTCAAATAACCGTGATGATAATGGAAACAAAAACGAGGCGAAACGTTTCGTGTGCACGTAGGACATAGACGCTGCATTGCACCGCATCGCATTGAATTCGCATGTCACCGCTTCATAATTGCGTTAGCTTCCAGACGCTCATGCATGACGTAGCCTTATCAAGAGATTTCTTACTTATTTTTGTCTAACACATACACTGACTGTGCTATTCACTCGTTCGTTTAACGCATATGTGCCATTAGTATAGGAGGCTGTTCAATAATTTATAAGTAATCGATACACAATAGTCCGAACACCTGATACCATAAAACGTTTAAGTTGAACATCGAGGTTTATAGCCATACAAATGGTGTCTTATTAGTATATGATCGAGGCTCTTGACTCGGAGCTTTGCCAAACTATTAAATTATGGATCAGTTCATATCAACTGGTTTAAAAACTGGTTTCACAAGCTTAGGAAATATTACATTAGTAGCCAGAGCAGAGATTTAAAATGATAGTGATATTTTTTTGAAATAACATAATATTAGGATAATTTAATGTCAGAGGAACAATAGTTTTTACTTCTAATTATTGTCAATTATATAATGCTGTAATTGCTCCACCTTAGATAACATTTTAGAACGAAATATCTGAAAAGCATCATTTTTTCCTGATCCAAGTCAAGTTGATCTCAATCAAACCCATTGATTAGAATCGACTGTGGCTCTAGCACTTGTATCCACTCAATCAACGACGTTATCTTCAAGTACAGGACAGACCGTTAAGTTATTCTTTCTTATTATTTCATTCACACCTTCTTTTAACACTTCATTCTGAAGTACGAATCTTTTTTGCAATTCGGATATTGGTCTTTATTTATATGTAGTATTAAATTTGATAATGCCATTGACCTTTTATGTAGCCTTAACTGTGAAAATTAATTGCAATGATTCAAGTCACGTATTTACAAGTATCTCATAAAAAAGTTTAATAATAAAATTTCATAATTTTTTTTTAACAAGTTGTATGTATTTATGCAAAGACTACAAACATATTATTAAATATATGGTTGAATTGAGTCATAGGTACCGTTATGGACTTGATGATAGAATTAGGCAATTCGAAATATTGTTGTCATATCAGATGTTTAAACTTGATGGAGTTTTTTAGGATAGAATATGCATTTTAGAATTGGGTAAGGCTTTCGACAGTAACATCTTTCGTTTCATAAATAAAAAAAAATCTTTGGTGTGAAGTTAATATTCTTTAGATACACTTTTATCTATTTCTGTAACTACGAGAAACAGGTAGTCTATATTATATAAAAATGAACAGCTGTTCGTTAGTCTAGCTAGTGAAATCCAGGGAAGGTTTAAAAGGTGAGCCGTTTGCTAGAATGAAATAAAATCATGGTATAAAATATGTTGAGATGAAGAAAAATAAAATACTTATTTAACACCTTAACCCTTTGAGTACCGTCATTATAGACACAATTAAAGAATAATAGGTTGCGGTCACCGTTGTCCTCGTGGTGTTTGACAGTTTAATAATGTTGAAGAGTAATGAACTACAGTCGAAACTAATGTATTTTTCTATAATTTGCAGACACTACGTTCCTCTACCGAAGCTGCATCCAGTAGACCAGTCGAGGGTGATGGTGACCCAGTTCCTCACGGAGAAACTGGATCCTTTTAACATTCTGTCATACTTCAGATATTGTTTTTTGGTAAGCCATTTTGAATTATACCTTAAAGATTTAAAATTACAATAGAGATGATGACAGGGTATGGAAATTAAAAATATAATTAGTCACGAAAATATTAGACGCGTCTTTTTTTATTTTGTCGTATAAGAAAACAGTACTTAGATAAAACGAATCGAAGTTTAGGAGTGGGAGGTAGCTACGTCATTTTAGAGTATAAGTCGTATTCAAAAGTGACGTCATGCGATATTTCAAATCAATATTATATCTTCGAAAAAATATGTGCCTAATGTTTTTGAATAATCTACCAGACGGACATAAAAATAAAAATCAGTCATCTACCCCATTCCGTTGTACTCCAACCCATCTATCAAGTGTAGATATAAGGACAAACCCATTTTATGTAGAGGAGGTCCATATAAATCATGGATTTCTACAGTAAACTGTAACATGCTATTGATGTTAATATTGATTGCAACAACAGTTGTTTTGACATGATACTACCTATGATGACGTCATTTCTATCAATATCATTATCATCATCACATCAGACCAGGTTCACTAACTACTGTATATGAGGCCCCTGCTTTGTCTGCCATTTCTTGAGTTTTTGTGCATCCTTCATCTATCTACTTCTAGGAATTTTGACAACATCGTACAACCAAAGCATTTAGGATCATTATGATTACAAAATTTTTCTCTCAATATACTACTCATAGGTGGAGTAGTCGGTAAGCGACTATCCTCTTACCCGCCTTGAGTTTCGATTCATAAGAAAAGTATTGCTGTACTTTTTCGTCTTAAACAATTTTCAAAAATGGCACTGGCGAGACTAAGATCTTTCGGATAGTATGATGACGATGCTGAATGAGAAATTAATTCAACAACACGATTTCTTCTTCTTTCAGATCGGAGAGTATAGAATCAACTATGACTACACACCCTCAGAGCGATTCGTGATTGATCTCACAAACATACACTTTGGTTTACTCAGTAAATTGAACCCTATTACTATCAAGAAATCTGAAGTTTTATGTACTGTAAGTATTAAAAGATTTCAAGTTATTAGAGTCTAAGTTACATAACATAACATCACGCCTTTTATCCCCGAAAGGTTTTTTTAAGGGGGAAAATCATCGAATGACTGCTCCCGCCTGGGTAAGGCGGGAGAGAGTGTCAGACTCTTACTGACTAAAAACTACGACGTTCCTTCTCTTGCACTTCGAACCGGACCCCCGGTAACCCGTTAGCTTCTCCGCGACTCCGAATCGGCATCACCCCATCCCCGAAGTTGTAGGCTGAGGTGTACATTATACCACTGTACAATGTAACACTCACTTTTCACTATTTATGTTATGAGTCCCATGTAATAGAGGGTGAGCCTATTGCCATATACCGGGCACAAATCCAGACTCCGTGCTACTACTGACATTTAAAAAAAACCCAGTATTACTTTGCCCGACCCGGGAATCGAACCCGAGACCCTTACCCGGCAGTCGCACTTGCAACCACTCGGCCAACGGGGCAGTCTAAGTGACAGCTGCACGAAAAGCTTAAACCATCCAACTTAAATCTGTGGGGATTGATTAATTTTCCGGAAAATGGAATGGAATGGAAATAGTATTGAAGCTGTAGAACAAACGTTGGTAGTTGGTTTTTGCGACCCAAGTAATAATTCTTCTAGGCCTGTGAGTTTGTCAATTTGTTGTCAATAACCCTATAAATTTTAGCACGGTTAGCGCAGTGGCTGGACAACTGGCTGCCGCCTAACGTGTAGCGGGTTCGATTTTCGCACGGAGCAACTCTTTGTGTGATCCACAAATTGTTGTTTCGGGTCTGGGTGTGATGTGTATGTAAAGTATGTTTGTAAATGCACCCACGACACAGGAGGCAATCCTAGTATGGGGCAATGCTAAAAAAATATCCTCCGATTACTGGTTCAACGAAGTTAATATATTTGTCAACTCTTGATAAGCTTAATATAGTAATAAAATCCTTTTTTTAATTTCAGGAAGGTATTGGAACAAAAATCAAGGGTATTCACATATTGAACGCACCTCCCTTCATTGATAAGCTGGTCTTCATCCTCAAACAAGCCTTGAGAGAGAAGGTAGCCAACAGGGTTCACGTCCACAATTCTTATGAAGACCTACAAAAGCACATTCCAAAGGAAATCTTGCCTAAGGACTATGGTGGTGATGACCTGTCTGTGGCAAAGCTGAGTGGTGAGTAGTACCAAATTTAACACGTTTCTGTATTAATGTATCTCCATTCGCGGTGGCTGGGCAACTGGCTGCCACGCAACGTGTCGCGGGTAGGATTCCCGCTCGGAACAACTCTTTGTGTGATCCACAGATTGTTGTTCCGGGTCTAGGTGTCATGTGTATGTTATACTGTATGTTTGTAAACGCAACCACAACACAGGAGAAAATCCTAGAGGGGGTGGCAGATAGGGCCCAATAGGGCCGATGCCGATTCGGAGTCGCGAAGAACGTAACGGGTAACCGGCGCTCCGGCTCGACGTGCAGGAGAAGGAACGGGGTAGTTTTTCAGTAAGAGTCTGACACTCCCTCCCGCCTCATCCAGGCGGGAGCAGTCATTCGATGATTTTCCCCCCTTAAAAAAAGGGGCAACGATTTTTTAATAAAAAAATATTGTCCATCTTAAAAGTAAATACGTACATTCATACTTTTGCTTTTTCGATATGAAAAAGAATTGAGTCTGGTGTCAATAACATAACTTTGATCTGGAGGACTTATGCTAAGGTCTCACGAAGCGATTTCCACCCACGCCCGCCATTAGTCTGGAATTTAACTCATGTTTAATCGCCCGTCTTGTGATAATCAACCGCCGCGATGACCGAGCGCGGTTTAAAAGCACCTCGTGAGCCCTTAGGCTTAGTGTTTATACAACATGTAACTTAAATAACGCACATCCTGAAAATAGTTTGTTCAGAATCGGTAACTGAATCGATTTATATAATTTTTAGTATAGGTAATTTTTTATCCCAAAAATAATTAAAACTTCGGAAATTATTGTCATTTTAACCCTGTATTGTTAAAACAAATCGAAATGGACCGTAAGTCAAAGCACTAAGACTTTTAAAATCGCAGTTGTATTTGTATCCATACAAATTCCATCATTCAATACAAAATAAAGAAAAATAAACTTTATGACAAGACCAGTAAGGATGCATATACATGTTAAATTAAAAATTTTGTGTATGTATTATGATTATAACATAATATTCTAATTGGGGTGTTTGAGGGTGTGCGTTAATAACGTTGTATGTTGTATACCTACGATGACGTCATTTCTATCAATATCATCATCATCGTCATATCAGACCAGGTTCATCAACTGCTGTATATGAGCCTCCTGCTTGGCTGCCATTTTTTGAGTTTTTGTGCATCCTTTTTCCATCTGTTTCTAGCAATTTTGACAACATTATGCACCCAAAGCATTTTAAAATAATGTAATAACAAAATTTTCCTCTCAATATTTCCAGAACGATGGAAGGAGACCCTGCGAACACCAGAAGCAAGACAATTAATAAAAGATGCAGAAAAAATGATCAGTGATGAGTCAAAACGACAGACTGCAAAATTTAATGAGGAATACATGGGGATGCCTGGATCGTTCAGAAAATTAACAGTAGATTAAGTTCCTAGTTCTATTTTAGTATATTATTATAGATACATTTGTGTTTTTGGAGAATGGAAATAGAATGTTTATGGTGCAAGATACTAACTATAACATCACCGGTTGGTAGTAGAAGTGACATAAAAGAACCATTTAAAAAAATGCTTATTTAATTTGAACCGTTAGTCCGTCTCTGCAAATATGCTGGAGATTTTTATACACAACTAAAATTATATCTACTATAAACTCTTTTTCCATTCTCTATGACATTTTTTTACCAGGGATTAATTAAATATTTGAATTTCACTACAATTTGGGAAGATTGCTAATTATCTGGCTTGGATATAATATATATATATATTGTATACATAGCAGACACATGGACATGGATAATATTTGACATTAATTTAGTTTATAAGAATGTGAATAATTAGTTCGGAAAAAATGTAAGTAGGTAATAATATAATTACATTAATATTTTTATCGAGTTTCAGTTGTTTGTTTTTTTTAATGAAATAAGATATTATAGTGTACCTATTATCTGCTTGAGATGTCTTATTTGACTGTTTTATTTGGTTAGTGGGTAGGTTGGTAACAAGATAATAGCTTGGATTTTTGAAATCTAATCTACAAAAAATCGAGTGTTTTTTTACCATGTATTTCTGTCTCTGTCTCTTGGTATTGATATGTGATGATCATGCATTAAAATAGGTCCTCAGTTGATGTAGAAATGCCATAAAAAGGTAAGGTTAACAGAATTATGAAGGGTAATGAAATTTGTGATAGGATGCAGATAGATAGGGAAATGGGATAAAGAAAATTTTGTTACCCTGAATAGCTTACCACATTTGTAGGAAAAATAATATCTACACCATCTACTTATGGTCAGCAGATAGGATAGATGCAACCGGAGAACATCGGCGACACGCTACTTCTTGCATTAGACAACTGATTGATAAATTTTATCCTGGAGGTTATCGGTCGTTGTATCGAGGAATTTGATGTCCAATCTACAAAATGAAACATAAGTACCTGGATGACCGTGTGGCTGTTGTCGTGGTGGCCCGGAGGTTTAAGACGCTGGCTTCTCATGCATGAGAATGCGGTTCGAAACCTACCAACGGCAAGTACCAATGTGACTTTTTCCGAGTTATATGTACTTTCTAAGATTATTTAGACACCACTGACAAACGGTGAAGGAAAACATCGTGATGAAACCTGGACTTATAATTTCCAATTATAATCAACCCGCATTGGGCAAGCGTGGTGATTAATGCTCAAACCTTCTCCGTGTGAGAAGAGGCTTTGCTCAGCAGTGGGCATTTAAGTATAGGCTGTTGATCACCTGGATGACCGAGCTTTACTCGGTGTTTTTCTTAGTAAATATTAAAAAAATATGAAAAAAACATAGAAAAAAAAAAGAAAACAGAATAGAATAAAGGAACATTTGTGCTGAGAATTATTGAACTCGAAGGACCTGCGAAAGTCACCTAATTTCCCAACTAAGCTTTTTAAACATTATTGGTAATGGCGAAATTTAGTTTTGTATTTTAATAATATTATAGGAGGTTTTTATTCAATGAACAAAAAAACAATTTCTGAAAATGACCTAGAAAAAACCTAGCTAGATCCTTTTTTTCGCTCCCAAACCCCCATAAACGGAGCTGTTTGGGCTCGCTGCCATTGCAGCGGTAAGACCCCTCTTTGAGGAGTAGCTTGAGAGACGCTACGGCGTCCTCACCTACCGCCTGACGCAGGTCCTCACCGGACATGGAAGTTTCGGGAGGTACCTGTGTCTGATGGGGCGGGAGGAAACGCCCGGGTGTCATCACTGCGAGGACCGCCCTGAGGACACGGTGGAACACACAGTGGGAGAATGCCCTGCGTGGGCTGAGCACCGCCGTGCCCTCAGGGAAGTGATCGGCGATGGCGACCTCTCGCGTCCGGGCCTAGTGCAGGCCATGATGCGGAGCGAGGGGGACTGGGATGCCGTCTCCTCCTTTTGCGAAGCAGTCATGCTAGCTAAGGAGGAGGCGGGACGCGTGAGGCAGCGAAGCGCTGCCTCCTCGCAACCCAGCCATCGCGAAGGACACACCGGGCGTCGGGGATCGCGGGACGATCTCCGGCCACCGTAAGCGCGGGCCTGCGGACGGCGAGCATGGGTGGCTCCCCGTCCGACCAGAAACAGACCCGAGCGTACGGCGCGTCGCCTTCCGCGCGCGCCTCAAAGAGCCATCAGACCACCACAGATGGGGCCCAATAGGGCCGATGCCGATTCGGAGTCGCGGAGAACCTAACGGGTAACCGGGGCTCCGGCTCGACGTGCAGGAGAAGGAACGGGGTGGTTTTAGTCAGTAAGAGTCTGACACTCCCTTCCGCCTCACCCAGGCGGGAGCAGTCATTCGATGATTTTCCCCCCTTAAAAAAAAAAAAAAACGGAGCTGTTTCCGAGTAACTACTCGTTTAAAGATAATAATTAATTAGAATAGGTATGATTTTGAGGGGGAAAACCATCCAATGATTCTCCCGCCCTGGGTGAGGCGGGAGGGAGTGTCAGACTCTTACTGACTAAAAACCAACCTGTTCCTACTACTGCTTTTCGAAAGGGAGCCCCGGCAACCAGTTACGCCTTCCTTACGGCAGACTAGGTAAGTACGTTTAAAAAAAAATGATGAGTGAAACAGAGAAAGCACAATAAACATTTTCACAGGATGTTTATTAATAAAGTGAATGAAGTTATTGTGATTAAAGTAAAGATTAGGTTATTTATAAAAAATTGAAGGTTATTTTTTGCATATAAAACGCTAATGTTCAAATAAATATGTTTTTAAGTTTTTAAAATAATTTTATTATTAATTATGATTAACCTTATCGTTACAATGCGATTTTTCTCTTAGTTTTACATCATCGCATTGTTCTAGTTTTTGCAACGTATAGATTTTTTTATTGCTCATTCTTGGGAACTTTGTTTGTCCTTATTTGTTTTGGGTTCCGCCTTTATATAAAATAAAATAAAATAATACAACCTCTTCATGGTTGAGAGTTTGAGAATTACCTATATCAGATATTAATGTCTATTCTAAGTCTTGTTAATACTCATCGGTCATACAGTATATCATTTTTTTAATTAGCGCCATCTAGTATGACTCATACTAGATGGCGCTAATTTAAAAAATGACATTTCATTAACTTCTATAAAGTTCCATAGGTGTACCAAGAGGTACACGTATATCGACAGTGACGTCATACAGTCAACAACATAAACATACTATAAAACTACGTTTAAAAAAAAAGAATTAGACCCCCTCCTTTTATGTCGGTTAATTAATATAGGTAGGTACAAGCTATTTCTAAGTGTACTGTGTAACAAATACCTTTCTGAAAACCGCATAAAAATTGGTTTAGCCAATCGCGAGATAATCGCGATATAATACGTAGGTCAAACTGAGAACCTACATTTTTTTTTAACATAACAACATAACATCACGCCTTTTATCCCCGAAGCGGTAGGCAGAGGTGCACATTATACCACTGAACAATGTAACACCCACTTTTCACTATTAATGTTATGATTCTCCCATGTAATAGGGGGTGGGCCTATTGCCATATACCGGGCACAGTTCCAGACTCCGTGCGACTACTGAGATTTAAAAACCCAGTAATACTTTGCCCGACCCGGGAATCGAACCCGAGACCCCTTGCCCGGCAGTCACACTCACGACCACTCGGCCAACGAGGCATTTGTTATTCATGCATTAATGTTATTCATTTGAAAAAATTCCATTCAAGATCATCGCCAGACGTAATTCTAATTTACAAAAAGTATTAACAAGTTAATGTTTACCTCTATTTTGTAGAATAGAACCAACAAAAATATAGCAAAAAACCAATTTGTTTTTCGACGAATCTCAAAATTAAGTCCAAAAAATAGAAGATTGATTATTATACATAACATAACATCACGCCTTTTATCCCCGAAGCGGTAGGCACCTCTGGTGCACATTATACCACTGAACAATGTAACACCCACTTTTCACTATTAAACTGTCAAATACCAAGCGGTCACCGGTGACCGCGACCTATTGTTCTTTAATTGTGTCTATAAAACCGGTACTCGACGAGTTAATGTTATGATTCCCATGTAATAGGGGGTGAGCCTATTGCCAGTAGTAGTACGGAGTCTGGAATTGTGCCCAAAACTGAGAATTTTATTAAACCCAGTAAATGATTAATTATTATAATAAATATTTTGTCTTCCATCTTGAATTAATAAGAGTTTATAACCGTGGGTAAACAGCGTCTAAGGCCTAACTGTCCACGTTGCGTCATTACTCATTAGACAAATGCATGCAGTCGTCAAAAACGGATGGGTCGATTTTATTTTAATGTTGCTGCTTTGTAGATATTGGACAGTGTTTTTATAATACATATCGTGAGAATTAACTAAACTGTGGCGCTTAATACCCCTGTACAATGTAACGTCTACTTTCACTGTTGTTATGTCATGTTATGATTCCCATGTAATAGGGAGTGAGCCTATTGATTAGCATTATAAATGAAAATGTTTTTGAGTTTGTATGGGTGTTTGTTACTCTTTCATACAAAAACTACTTGAATGATCTGAATCCATTTACCTGATAATCTGAATAGGTTTATATCGAAATTAATGATGATTTTCTATATCAGGGAAGTAAAGATTGCAAGCAATGTATCACGATAAGGGCAATCCAACATACAACCGTTATGTTTTTATAATAACTATCGTGAGACATACTAATTAACTAAAAATCGCGGGTTACTCACGTGGATATACTGAGAAAAGCTCTACTAGTTTCGAACCACAGAGGGGTTCTTCTCATGAGCAGCGTGCGCGATTGCGACTATATCGCACAACCTACTGAAACTAGTAGAGCTTTTCTCAGTATATTCACGAGAGTAACCCGCGATTTTTAATTAATACAACGTTAGACAGTCCCTCCTCCTTTATCCTATCTTCGGGGATATCACACCCTGTTCCGTTTTTTTTTGAGGGGAGAAAATCATCCAATGGTTCTCCCCACTTGAGTGAGGCGAGAACGCGTGTCTGAATCTTACTGACGAAATACTATTCCGTTTCTACTTTTCTTATTCTTCGAGCCGGAGCCCTGGCAACCCGTTATGTCCTCCGCGGCTCCAACTCAGGCATCAGCTCTAATAAGCCCAAATCTGTTCCCTAAAGGTGAGTTTTGGAAAGATGCAATATTATAATATCGTTATAACACAAGCAAATTTGCTGGCAGGAGCCAGTTTAATATATTTCTTATACAGTACCCCGCAATGCTTGTTTTCTAAGCAATTATACAACGGACGCAGTTAATCATAATTTGTATCAAGATTAATTATTTTCATCACAAATAAATTGAGGGCGTAGCACAAGTTTTACAGTTCTCATAGGTTTTTTTATTGGTTTGTTCATTGAGAGAATCAGTGTGTATGCCATCAATCTAGTAAAACATTATTTAGCATAATTTTCTGTAATATTGATTACTAGCTACTTCCACGCGGTTTCACACGCTCTGCTCAGCTACTATTGGCCGTAGCGTAATGTTTTATAGCCTATAGCCTTCCTCGGTAATTGCGCTATCCAACACAAAAAGAATTATTCAAATCAGACTTGTAGTTCCGGAGATTAGCGCGTTCAAACAAACAAACAAACAAACTCTTCCGCTTTATATGTAAATATTAATGTGTTTCATCATTTGCCCGTGCTTTGACGATCTTCTCTCAACATAGAATCTATAGAACATTTTTGTAGTTGTCAATCAAATAATGAACATACAAACAAAGACAAATGAACTAAACAAAACACAGTCTACGCCTCCATTCTCATTCAACAATAATGGAAGCCAGTTTTTTTAAACACAAAGATTATTCTCTGATAACAGGATAACTATGCATTCAAAGGTTTCAGTGTACATTTAGTTTTGAACACGTTCAGTACGTTTGAACAAAATGGAACATTTAAAAGATACTATAATTTTGAAATTTAATCCCACGACGATAGAAGAGGTTAGACAGGAACTAAATCTAGATAAGAAAAGTATTGAGCAGATGCTGGATCATTTTGAAAAATGGATTGCTAAACAGAATCATTTTACTATGAAAAATTTTAGTAAGTATTTTTTGAATGTAAGTTTTGAATCATAAAGTGCCATGTGGTATTGGTAAGTAGATGCAAGTGTGGGAGAGCCATGCTTCGGCACGAATAGGCCGGCTCGACTGGAGTGATACCACGGCCTCACAGTAAACCGACGTGAAACAAGCTTGCGTTGTGTTTCGTGTGGTGAGTGAGGTTACCGGAGGTCGTTCACTCACACTCTGCTGTTTTAAATGTCAATGGGTGGCGCCGATTGCTTACCATGATCCGTCTGCTCATTTACCGGCTTATTCTATAAAAAAGATATGTAACTACCCAGTGCCCATACTCAACTCGTAAGTTTCCTAAGAGTGGACCAAGACATTTTCAACAAAGCCCGGACAAAGGTGCTTTTCGCAAAACTTGAATCCTTCAAACCGCGATGTCCAGCCTCGCAAGGGCGATTATGACAAATCCCTCTCATGTAAAGGGTGCCCATATAGTCCAGCTCTTGATTCCTATTGTTGATATAAAGATAATGCCATCTTTATCATCAGCCATAACTAGTCCACTGCTGCGTAATGGCCTCCCCCTTAGTGCTCCACGTCGAACGACAACTCACTTGTTATTCATTGTCTTCCCACTACTCTGACGATGTCGTTGATTCCCTTAGCAGGAGGCTGAACTATAAATTATCTAACAATTTGTCATTTTATGTTCCAGGTCGTCCATATTTAGAGTCTTCTATATTAATGCTAAAGGATCGTTGGAAAGAGCTAAAACTGCTTTAGACAAATTGTGCACTTGGAAAACTTTATTGCCAAAATATTTTGAAAAACACAATTACAAGGATGATGCGATGGACACAAGTAGTGTTATGTAAGTATATAATATCAAAATTCTTTCATTTTGTGGAAAAGTATAATTGTAATATTTAAGCAGCCTAGAGGCTAATCTTGATATCCCTCCCGTCAAACTCGGGGAGCAAAGGCGGGGAATTTTTTTTATTTTCGATGATTTTCCCCCTTAAAAAAATCGTAATGTTCAATCATTTTATTTTAATTAGACCAAGCATTTGAAACTTAAATAAAATATTTTAAAATATCATTAACTCGTCGAGTACCGGTTTTATAGACACAATTAAAGAACAATAGGTCGCGGTCACCGGTGACCGCTTGGTGTTTGACAGTTTAAGACTGTTAGTAAGGCTACTGGCTCGTTCCAAAGCATAGCTGACAAGGAGAACGATCAAAGAACTCCATAGATACTCATCTTCAACAATTCGAAAGACTGATACTTTACTTACAATACTTTTTCTGACTTTACGACCATATTCCTGAACATTCTGAACATAACCTATCATAAGATCATCATCATCATTAACAGCCTATAAATGCCCACTGCTGAGGAAAGCCTCTTCTCACACGGAGAAGGTTTGAACATTAATCACTACGCTTGCTCAATGCGGGTTTGCGATTTCAAACTTATAATTAGAAATTAATGGAACGAGCACCTAGCTTCACCTAGCTTCACTGACGAACTGACTGACAGACTATCATTTATTTTATATTTGTTGACGTTTCAAAAGTACCAAATTATGGTTTAATATTTTGCCGTCACCACTCGACACTGGCAATATAGTCGACAACACCATTTTGGAGACTCGGTTGCCAAAGAAGAAGAAAAAAAAATGCTTTGACTTTTATTTTAAGTCCAGATTTCCTCACAATGTTTTCCTTTATCATTTGTCATTGGTGTCTAAATAATCTTAGAAAGTACATATAACTCGGAAAAAGTCACATTGGTACTTGCCGTTGGTAGGTTTCGAATGCATGAGAAGCGGGTGTCTTAAACCGGGCCACCACGACCATCTCATAAGGTCTCTTCTGATATATTTCCTTCTTTTTTCAGTATCCATGTGACATTACCGAAGCTTCTGAAGAACAATTACAGGGTATACATTGTGAGAATCATAAAATCTGAACTTGGCGCTGAAATGCTGCTAAACTACGAGAGAGCTATGATTTTAGTGAGTACTAGCTGTACCCACAACTTTGTCTGCGTTTTCCTAAAAGAAAAGTAGTATATGTTACTTCTTAGTACATCAGCTACCTACCAATAAAAGTTCCGTCAAAATCGGACCAACCATTTTAAAGATTAGCCAGTACAAACAGACAGACAGACAAAAGTAAAAAATGTTGTGTTGGTGTATTTGTATCGTATCTGTATTCATTATACATGTAGCAAAATGTGGTTAAGTACTTCAATATTACAAACAGATATTCCAATTTTTTCGGTTAATGAGCAGACGGATCATATTCATATTCATATCTTTATTATAGATCACCTGATGGTAAGCAATCGGTGCTACTCACTCACTGACACACTCACTCAAAATACTAAAAGAGTTACAAGAGCATTGACTTTGAGGGCTTTGGGATTTGAGAGTCGGGGATTTAGGGAGTGTCGAGATTGAGAGGAGGAGGAATTGGGCCTCTCTTTTTAGAACCAGCGGGTTAATAAAAGATTCTAATTGTTTCAGATGAATGAATATGTGAAGCTCCATGACTACCGGTTGGGTTACGTCGTCGTGGTAGATTGTAGAAATATAAACATAGTGCAATTGGTCAGCAATATAAATATTTTAGAACTGCGTGAAACGTTGTCTATATTGATGGTAAGTTGTCAAATATTAAGGATCTAAAAACAGTTACATTCACCCCAATTAGAGCGCATTCACACTAGCAATTTAACTGTCCACAATAAAATTTACAATTACTCCACGTCCATAGTTTTTTTAAAGGTCAGATTTTTTGCTACACTTCCACGTAGTTTTTATTAGAATTTGGTACCACGCTCATATCAAAAATACACACGAAACTTGTACCAAAAATGGAACCTTGGACAGTTAACTTGCTAGCATTTGTGCAGCGTAGGCGTTCGATAGACGTATGCGCCGCGCAGGCGTCTACGTCAACGCCTGCGCTGGATAAACGCTAGTGTAAAGGCGCTCCTAGAACAAGTAGTTAATTGGAAATATGCCAAGGTTGAGTTCCCGGGGTCGTGGTGGCTCGGAGGTTTAAGACGCCCACTTCTCATGCATGAGGGTGCGGGTTCGAAACCTACCAACGGCAAGTACCAATGTGACTTTTTCCGAGTTATATGTACTTTCTAAGATTATTTAGACACCACTGACAAACGGTTAAGGAAAAACATCGTGAGGAAACCTGGACTTATAATTTCTAATTATAAGTTTGAAATCGCCAACCCGCATTGAGCAAGCGTGGTAATTAATGCTCTAACCTTCTCCGTGTGAGAAGAGGCTTTGCTCAGCAGTGGGCATTTATAGGCTGTTGATGATGATGATGAGGTCAAGAAATTGGAAATATGCCAAGGTTGAGTTCTCGGGTACGATTATCAATCTTTTTGCTATAAACGTTATGAGTTCTACGTAAATAGTAGACAAGTCAATGTCCACAAATGGGTCATAATATCAGACTTTGACCTACTAGGTACTAAAAATGTTGATGAACCAAAATCTAGAATTCTTACGACGAAATACTTAAACGCTACTGAATATTAAGTCACGCTTAAATATAGTTCTGTCAATATAAATTCTATGCCAAATGACAGAGGTGGCACGATATTTAAGTACAATTTAAACTGTCTCGTTGGCCGAGTGGTCGCAAGTGCGACTGCCCGGCAAGGGGCCTCGGGTTCGATTCCCGGGTCGGGCAAAGTAGTAATACTTTAAAAAAAATCCTCAGTAGTAGTACGGAGTTTGGAATTGTGCCCGGTATATGGCAATAGGTTCACCCTCTATTACATGGGACTCCTAACATAAATAGTGAAAAGTGGGTGTTACATTGTACAGTGGTATGATGTGCACCTCTGCCTACCCATTCGGGGATGGAAGGCGTGATATTATGTTATGTTATGTTACAAATTAAATTTCGCATTTTTTCTGATGCTAATCTATTCCAGGATGGCTACGCCTGTCGTATAAGAGACATGCACGTAATATCGGAATCTAAAACTGTGGAAGTACTTACATCACTTCTGAAACAAGTCTTAAGTAACAAATTAGCTGGAAGAATCAATGTGATGAAGACTGTAGAAGAATTGTATAAATATGTGCCCAAAGATATGTTACCTAAAGACTATGGAGGGACCGAAGTTACTATGAAGGAGATGCATGGTTAGTATTGATACACAACATAGTAATAAGGATAGTTAAGAAGCACAAAATTAGGTAAATGTTACACTTAATTTGTTGACAGTTGAACTTAACCGAACCCGTTTATCAAACTTATAGCATACTGCTCAGCAAATGCTCTTAGGGTCTTAGGGCCACGTCGCAGTGAATAAAATATTCTCTGTGTGGGAAAAGGCCAAGGCCACTTATAAGTGACACAATGACTTCTCCCGCCTGGGTGAGGCGAGAGGGAGTGTCAGACTCTTACTGACTAAAAACCACCCCCTTCCTACTTCTGCACTTCGAGCCGAAGCCCCGACAACGCGTTAAGTCTTCCTCGGCTATGTATCGGCATCAGACCTGTTGGGCCCCATCCAATGGCTCCTTGAGGCGCGCGCGGAACGCGGCGCGCCGTACGCTCAGCCCTGGTTCTGGTCGGGCGGCGAGTCACCCGTGCTCGCCGTCCGCAGGCCCGTGCTTACGGTGGCCGGAGATCGTCTCGCGATTCCCGATGCCCGGAGTGTCTCTCGCGACGGTCGGGGCGTGAGGTGGTTCATTCCCTCATGCTCTCTGCCTCCTCCTTAGCTAGCATGAGTGCTTCGCAAAAGGAGGAGACGGTATCCCAGCCCCTCTCGCTCCGTATCATGGTCTGAAACAGAGCCGGACGCGAGAGGTCGCCGTCGCCGATCACATCCCTGAGGACACGGCGGTGCTCAGCCACCGCCACCGTGTGCTCCACCGTGTCCTCCGCGCAATCCGAAATTTCCGTGTCCGGTAAGCACCTGCGTCAGGCGGTAGGTGAGGACGCCGTAGCGTCTCTCAAGCCACTTCTCAAAGAGGGGACATGAGCATGCGAGATGATTAATGCCTCCGTGTGAGAAGAGGTTTTGCTCAGCAGTGGGCATTTATAGGCTGTTGATGTGATCTGATGTGATTAGGTACTTTACATAAAACCAAAAATGTTATACTATTTTCTTTTTTTTTCAGAAAACTGGCGTTCGGAGTTAAGTACAAAGGAGAACGTTGATTTTTTAAAAATGATGTGCAATGCCCGTACTGAGGAGAAACACCGACTTATTGATCAGTATAATGACCAGATACTAGGCATAGCAGGATCCTTTAGGACCCTGTCTGTAGACTAGAGGTTTTAGAAGAGATAATTGATAATGAAATTCTTAATGAATCAGGTGATAACTAAAAATATTATGTTATTCATTTAAACATATTTGACTTACACAAAGACACGATAGCTACGTAAAATTATAATAATAAAGCTATATTTAAATCTACAATACCTAAAGATGAACGATGGGAATGTTGGTTGGAAATAAACGGTCGCCGAAAATAATGGCTTGATTGGATTTTTTTTTCACAATACTATTTAGAATAAGCTCGCTAGCAAAGATCTTATTCGCCTATTTCTACTGAGTTTAACTTCGACTCGGATTCGTGCCTGCTTCTACCACCTCTCCTAAATTTTAAGGAACCCCAAAGCTAATATAGGTTACATTTAACGACATTCAAATTTTTTCTCTTTATAGGGACACCCATCAGTACAGTAAGGAGTTATGGTAGTAGGATTAGGTACTACGTAATGCTAACTTATTTTTTTAATGGTTACCGCGTCTTTTTAAGGAATAGGAGGCAAACGAGCAGACGGATCACCTGATGGTAAGCGATCAGCGCCGCCCATGGACATCTGCATCATCAGAGGAGTCAGAGGTGCGATGCTAGCCTTTTAAAAAGGAATACGCTCTTATCTTGAAGGTTTGAAGGTCGTATTGGTTCGGAAATACCGCCGACGACAGATCACACAGTTTTTCCGTGCGAGGCAGAAAGCTACGTGAGAAGCGCACAGTTGTGACTTGCCAACCATATATATGATAGGGATGCATATGTATATTATATATACTATATCTAACTTTTAATTAAGAGGTGGTTTAGGGGTCCATTAGTTTAATAGTAAATGTTACTGTGTACTGTATATTAAGCAAAAATATTTTAAATAACGTAATTCAGCATTTATAGCCATTTACAGAACTTTAATCTATCGCCACTGCTAATGGATATTTACCAATTCTTAAGAAAAGTACTTATAAAAAGAAAAAAGTTGAGTTTATCTACTTTAAACCGTCTGAGAGTTATTTAAATACTTCAATACTAAGAGTGTTTTTTGATGAGAATATTAAAATATTAATAATTTATTTCATTGACATGGCAAATTCTGCAAGAAACGACCACACTTGCTTTGATCAAATTGGTCAACCGATGCAAGTTGAGACTAAATAAAATATGGTAATTATTTTTCAAAGTACAGATGTGGACATAATATCACCTTTTTCCAAACTCCCCAATCCCCGAACTGAGAAAAAACTGAGACTGAGAAAACTAAAGAAGTTTGAGGATTGTTGGGGACAATCCTCAAACTTTTGATCCCCAAAAGGCCGGTAACGCACTTGTAACGCCTCTGGTGTTCCAGGTGTCTATGGGCGACGGCGATTGCTCCTTGATCATCAGGTGATCCATCGGCTCATATATCGGCTTATGCCATAAAAAAAATTCCGAAATCCTCAACAATCATCAAATTCCTGATCCCCAGAAGGCCTATAGCGCATTCGTAATGACTTTAATATTGCGGGTGTCCATGGGCGACGCCAATTGCTTACCATCAGGCAAGCCGATTGCTTGCTTACCGTCGGCTCGTTTACTGGCGGTATTTCATTACAATATATGTACAATTGTGTATTTAAAACTCTATTTACGTTATTTTATTTCATTGCATGTACACCTTGTCTGTTAATTATCATTATTGCTTATATTGCTTGTCGCAGCAAGAAATTCTTTAAAGAATAAGCAGTACCTATGTACCTCATGCTCGTCATATGATGCCCTTTGGTCACACATCAATCTAAACAAAACCAGTTTATCCTGGTGTCGCGTCGCATCATCTTTTCGCACATTTAACGTTCAGTTTATACTGGTTAAGTAAAGCTTGATGTGTAGCCGTGTGTACATGAAATCTATACATATAATAAATCTGTAGAAAAGTAATTTTTGTACATTGAAGAAATTGAAAAAAAAAATAGCCAGCGTGTTAAAAGATAATCAACAGAAACCATTTCCATCATTTTTGAAATTTTTGTCTGTTTGTCTGTTTGTCTGTTTGTTTGTGCGCGCATCACGTAAAATCTACGAATTCAATGCAGACATTGCTTATATACAAAAATTCTACGCAACTCGAGGTATAACTTAGTTTTTGTTTCATCGAAATCGGTTCACTCTATCAGAAGATATGATTAATTTAGTGAGTTCAGGTAAAATATTACAACACGCAATGCAGTATAGTATCTATACATATAATAAATCTGTAGAAAAGTAATTTTTGTACATTGAAGAAATTGAAAAAAAAAATAGCCAGCGTGTTAAAAGATAATCAACAGAAACCATTTCCATCATTTTTGAAATTTTTGTCTGTTTGTCTGTTTTGTCTGTTTGTTTGTGCGCGCATCACGTAAAATCTACGAATTCAATGCAGACATTGCTTATATACAAAAATTCTACGCAACTCGAGGTATAACTTAGTTTTTGTTTCATCGAAATCGGTTCACTCTATCAGAAGATATGATTAATTTAGTGAGTTCAGGTAAAATATTACAACACGCAATGCAGTATAGTACTCGAAATGACATCTTTGAAAAATTGGTTTCGTTTGGTCATTGGTTTGAAGTCCGAAGTAAAGATACTAACTTGATATTATAAATAAGTAGAACTTTTTTTTTAAGTTGGGCAAATCATCGAATGACTGCTCCCGCCTGGATGAGGCGGGAGGGAGTGTCAGACTCTTACTGACTAAAAACCACCCCGTTCCTTCTCCTGCACGTCGAGCCGGAGCCCCGGTTACCCGTTAGGTTCTCCGCGACTCCGAATCGGCATCGGCCCTGTTGGGCCCGATGTGCCGTATCTCCGGCCATTGTAAGCGTAATCCCCGACGCCCGGTGTGTCCTTCGCGATGGGGGTTGCGAGGGGTAGCGCTTCGCTGCCTCACGCGTCCCACCTCCTCCTTAGCTAGCATGACTGCTTCGCAAAAGGAGGAGACGGCATCCCAGTCCCCTTCGCTCCGCATCATGGCCTGCACTAGGCCTGGAAGCGAGAGGTCGCCATCGCCGATCACTTCCCTGAGGGCATGGCGGTGTCAGCCCACGCAGGGCATTTCCCACTGTGTCCTCAGGGCGGCCCTCGCAGTGATGATACCCGGGCATTTCCTCCCGCCCCATCAGACACAGGTACCTCCCGAAACGTGAGGACCTGCGTCAGGCGGTAGGTGAGGACGCCGTAGCGTCTCTCAAGCCACTCCTCAAAGAGGGGACTTACCGCTGCAATGGCAGCGAGCCTAGCCCTCGGCTGCGACAATCGTTGCTGCCATTTCGCCATGAGATCGCGCCGGAGCTTATTCCGCCACGCACGTATCTGGCGCGGCAGCGGAGTTTCGCCCCGGCAACGTGCCTCCGCGCGCATGCGATACACGCGCGCGAGCACCTTCGCCTCCAGATCCCACGGCGGTAATCCGGCAAGAAGGTTCGCCGACTCCCCGGAGATCGGTAACCGCGGATCATTCGGATCGCCATGACCCTCTGTACCATGAGCAGCGCCCGAGCGGGCCGCCGCATCAGGTTCGGCGCCCACACAGGGGTGCCGTAGAGGGCCATGGACCGCACGACCCCGGCGTATAACCTCCAGCAGGAAGCGTTTGGCCCCCCGAGGTTGGGGAGGATGCGTTTGAACGCAGCCCCCATCCTCAAAACAAGTAGAATAGACTATAGGTATTTTGAAATCTGGCCTTTACGGTCACCTTAAGTTTAAAACATCGTACAAACGACCTTTTTGTAACATATGTATTTTACTTTTAACATTATTAAACTTCTGAGTGCACGTAGAAATGAAGAACAAATTTGTATCACCGAGTGTATTCGGGAAGCGTCGTGATCGTTCGGGTAAATTCGTAATTCTCCACATGAGGCAAGCGCGGCGAGCTGCACTATGATTATGAACGACCACACTGGGTATTAGTGAGTATGACGTCAGACCCGGTCAATAGGGCCGTCCTGTCAGTTCTGTTACAGTCTATACAGTCGTCCAACGAAGACGTCTAGACAGGGCAATCGTGCGGGGTGTGAAGGGCGAGACGCGGGTAGGCCGATCCCGAGCTGCGAACAAAACGATGTTAGTAGCTCGGGATTTATTATTCAGGGCTATCGCGTGTTTGTTTTTACTTACTTCAAAAAAAGAAGGAGGCACTATGTTCGAATGATTGTTTCTTTTTTATGTATGGTTGCCGTTGCATGAAATTTTTAATTTATCGTCATGGGTGTCGTTTTCATGGTTTTCGAGGGTGGTAAAACCGTCGGTGCTGTCAAAATGAGATGACAGCTGCACGAAATTTTTAGTTTATCGTCATGGGTATCGTTTTCATGGTTTTCGAGGGTGGTGAAAATGATGGTGTTGTCATAATGCCAATCCAAGATGGCCGCTGCCCGAAATTTTTAATTTATAATCATGGGTATCGTTTTCATGGTTTTTGAGGGCGGTGAAAATGATGGCGCTGTCAGAATCTAAATCCAAGATGGGAGCTGCATGAAATTTTTAATTTATCGTCATGGGTGTGTATTATCTAAACGATGTTATTTTGTTTTCAATAACCACGTGAACGAAGTCACGGGCACAGCTAGTGATAAATAAATAAACTATTCTTACGTCTAATTGTTGCTATCTTCTTATGGCTTTTTTTAAATTGAAATTATCGATTGACAATGAAAGATTGTAGTATACAAAAAATGGTCAAGTATCTAGATAGTAAGTAAAATTATGCGCAGTGTGACAAGTGACGTCATCAGTATAAAAGTGGTGAATACTTATCTACATAGATGTCGTTATTCTATAACTCTATATTAACGAAATGTGTAAGTAATTCTGTTTGTTTGTGAATCCTACTAATATTATAAATGCGAAAGTAATTTGGAACAGAGATTATGATCTAGTTTATTACATTAGCTACTTTTACGCTGGGGGAACACTGTTATAACCGCGAGTAGAAGCTACTCTATATAAATGAATCCCTTTTTCCCTTGGTCACGGCATCACGCGT